TAAATTCTTAACTAACATTTAAAGGATTGTTTACCATTAAGATTATGATAAATGCATTTAGTGTTTAAATTAAATTTGATTGATTGTGCATTGAGTGAGTCATCGCTTCTCCTAAACCAAAGATTTAATTTATATTTCAATTGAAAACAAATTTTTTTAAATTCTGTTTTGCGATCCCATTATAATAAACAGGATATTATGGCATATAATATGAGTTAAGACTTCAGTAATAAATTATAATAACAGCGAATAAATGTCTATAAATATTCAGATCGAGAATTCACTACTCAATTGTTTGGCGTTATGTAAAGACCTATCGGAGTAAATGTCTTACCGTATGATTGATCGGCGCAATGGGTTAGAGTTACAAACGCCGAGCATTCAGTCAATCCATAGCACTCCAGGACCTGGAGATTACAAATTGCATCCATAAGTCTCATTATAAATGGTTAATCAATTAAATTAATTTTTATAACTTTATTTTGGGAATACTTGCAAAAAACTAATCATAATTATGTTATAAAAAATAAAGTGAATTTTTTGTGCAATTAATTACTACCAAAAGATAAAACTGAAGTTATTTTTTTCGAAAACACATTTTTTCTGCTCATAAATAAATTCATTATATAATTATAAAATGATCTCAAATAATGAATCTCTAATTATAAAGTTTTTTTTAAAGTTTGCGATATTTTCTACCACTCATTAAAGAACAGACAGAGAGTTCACACCCGATAAGAGCCCTCTCTCTCTCCCTCCCTCTCCCTCTTTCTGTAATTTAATTCATTGCAAATTGTGATAAATTTAGACAAATTGGTTGGTCTTCTAACCCGACACCCAAACGAATTTCGCACAAAATTCAAAACAGTCGACGATATTTGCGATGAGCCAGAGATGAGTAGCTTTAGGTTTCCGCCCAGAGTTTGCTTAACTGTATTGAAAACAACTTTATCCCAGATTGAAGATGGTTAATCAATTAAATTAATTTTTATAACTTTATTTTGGGAATACTTGCAAAAAACTAATCATAATTATGTTATAAAAAATAAAGTGAATTTTTTGTGCAATTAATTACTACCAAAAGATAAAACTAAAGTTATTTTTTTCAAAAAACACATTTTTTCTCCTCATAAATAAATTCATTATATAATTATAAAGTGATCTCAAATAATGAATCTCTAATTATAAAGTTTTTTTTAAAAAAAGTGCGATATTTTCTACCACTCATTAAAGAACAGACAGAGAGTTCACACCCGATAAGAGCCCTCTCTCTCCCTCCCTCTCCCTCTTTCTGTAATTTAATTCATTGCAAATTGTGATAAATTTAGACAAATTGGTTGGTCTTCTAACCCGACATCCAAACGAATTTCGCACAAAATTCAAAACAGTCGACGATATTTGCGATGAGCCAGAGATGAGTAGCTTTAGGTTTCCGCCCAGAGTTTGCTTAACTGTATTGAAAACAACTTTATCCCAGATTGAAGTCGTCTGATTGACCGCTCTTTTATTATAAACACAATACATATATAAATGAGTTTTTATTGACAATTTTAAGCGTGTTTTTTGCGATTAAAATATTAGATATACGTCGAGAGAGAAGGATTGAAAAGAACTCAAATAATATTTAAGATTTACTTTAAGATCTCGGGTTGTTTTGATTTGAGTGCAATGTCCAGCATTCGACTCCGAACCCAATTGCCCCTCACTTTAGATATGACCTGAAATATGAAACACAGGTATTAACTATTTGTTTCATTTTGACAATAGAGTAGAGAAAAGGCAAATGAAAGAAAGAAATCTCTATTATTTCGTAGTATTTTGAAAGAAATAATAACTCTATTATAAAGTCTGTTGAGAATCCTGGGGACGCAATACATGATTGTCGGCATAAGAATCTATTAAACAACAAACAAAACAATTTTTTAATAAACAAAAAAGTTTGAGATATAAAAACATTTTATAAATGAATGCATATATACGGGAAGTTCTCGGGACAGGTCTTTGAAATCTCCTGAATATATCCCAATACGTCCTCCACTGTAGAACATACAGGCCTTTCGGAGGGGAAACAAAATACATATGAAATAACATTATGTAATAAATGAAAAAAGTTCACATAACTAATAATAAATAGTGTATTTTTGTTTGTTTACAACTAAAATGGTTTAAATAATAATAAATTTTTAATTACTTTTAATATTCTTTCTCTTAATTGTGCGGACGATAAGTACGCTATCATTGTCTCCTCTCTCAGATCAAAATGTGAATCCTGTTTGAGATTAAGAATTAATTTGTTTGAAAAAACAGCACTACTTCTGACACTTGAAGATAAATATATGTATAATCGTATGAAATGTTTTTATCATATATTTTCTTCTTGTGTTTCAATTTACCAAATGTAAGAGAAGAGCAGAAACGGCGGACACGAGATTGCCGTGAGTTAACAGCGCTTATTATATAACCAAACAAATGACAAAAAAGTTTTTTAGAAAATTTGTTTTTGTGTTTCATTTTAAAAATAAAAAATAAAAGACAACTATTTCTCGTTGTTTTTGTCTTTTAAATCCATGTTTACCTCCTTTTGGATTTCCTGTCGTTCCACTCGTATAAGAGATAACTGTATATATAATTTGCAGCCAAAAATAATATGCAAAATTCAATTAAACCCTCTTTTATTTAATGAGATAATTTTGTTTTGTATTTGTCTCGTAATACCCGCTAAATCCGTTGGTTTAGGAATCTGTGGCAAAGAATTTAAGTATTTTTGTAAAATAAAAACATATTTTTCACACGAAATGTGTTGATAAGAATTTCTCACAACAAATGTCTGCAGATCAACGATTCCCAGTCGCTGTCGTGATTGAAGACAATTGATTTCATTATATTCACATTCGTTAGCGAAATGAATTTACGTTTACCTCAATATCTTTAAAAGCATACAATTTGATCCCTATTTCATAATAATAATACATTTGGTTATTGAAAGTATTGAAACCATATATTGAAGGAAAGAGTAGACCTTTTTTCTCAGCCAATAGTTTAGTGTCCGGATACAAGTGATCGCTCGTGAGAATCAAACTCTCGACTTTACTATTATATCTTACAGAAGTCATCACTTGTTTGGCCCTTTCATTGGAGTCAACGATAACGCATTTGGGCTCAACTGAACACACAATTCATAGATGTATTGATAATGATTTCAATATAATATAGCAAATCATAATAAGAAGTGATTGAAAAGTGTCTAACTTTGTTGGAAAATGTATGTCCATCTGTTTGACTCCTATGTGTGAGACAAACAAAATTAATTGTTTTTCCTAACCATTGGTTATTTGACTCTTACGGATGTGTCAAAGAGTGCCACCACAGCCATTGAGTAATGATAACACGCGTATTCAGCAATCATTAACTTTCAATTAATTTAAAAATATATAATAAGATTTCAATTATAGCAATGAATGAGATATTTTTGATACTTTAAAATTATTTCTGCTGAACAATGCAATAATGGTCTTATTGTTGGGCTCACAACCAATGGATACCAAACCTGATCCAAAAGTCTTCATTCGGAATAAAATCTATTGATGGAGAGAGAGAGAGAGAGAGAGAGAGAGAGAGCTCTTAGACTGTTTTGAATTTTGTGCGAAATTCGTTTGGGTGTCGGGTTAGAAGACCAACCAATTTGTCTAAATTTATCACAATTTGCAATGAATTAAATTACAGAGAGAGAGAGAGAGAGAGAGAGAGAGAGAACTAATGATTACATTCAATCGAAATTCAATGGAAATGAATGGAAAACCTGACTATAAGTAGACCATTCATATGCTTGAGTATAGGGACTAATCAGACCCAAGCAATCGTTGTCCTCTATAATTATGATCAAAAATTGATAAAAAATAATGTAATTTAAAAACCAAGAAAAAAAATCAGAATTAATGTCGACTAAATATAGGATTCGACGGACAAACTTGATATTTTATATCCACGATAAACACAATCCAATAGAGTCTTGATCTGAGGTTCACAAGTTAGCAAATATTTGCCCCTTTGAACCATCGATGAGCACCGAGTGGTCTGTTAATGCAAAACATCCCAAACATTTGGCATTAATTCAAACGCTAATTGTTTTAAATTATAATAAATGAACACAAATTGGCAAACCTTATCGATATGATTGGACTGATTATTTAAGTCAATCATTTCTGGCTTATAGTCTATGTCCACATCCACTACACTTTCCGACTTGACTGATGTCTCGAAATTGTTTTGCATTTACAAAAATAATAACACTAATAATAATTAGTTAATATTACATATGAGAAGTCATTCAATTGATTATGAATTAAAATAAAGCGAAAAATATATACCGTATATACCTATTGCTCTCTATATTCCTACCTATGATTAGTAAAAATACAAAGATATTCTCATTTTCTTGACTTTATATGTCATTCATTAAGCAATAAATGTATTTCAAAAGTGTATTATGCGTTTGGTTTTTGCATTAATGATTGTAAGACTGCACGCAAACCAATAATTTTTAAATTTCAATTCTATGCTTAATTTTTGAGTTCATTTTTAGGTTTGTTTTTCTGTTTACTTATTATAGATATTTTTCTTGAAAATATAGGTTTTTATACATAGTTTATTAAATACATTATCAAACCATCTGATTATATAATACTAGATTAGTTGATAGATTAGATATTAAAACATTGCAAATCAAAACAACAAAAACCCAATTGAATCCGTATTTATTGATTTGTAAATTAATTTAATACACTTTAGGGCTATTATAATGAAACTGTGTTTAAATGTAAATTCTGTCCCCTTTTATATGTTTGGCGCAAATCTAGTGTTAATTCGATATAATTAATGATTAATAAAATATTCATCGCTTTAAATATACAAGAGATATACAGTAGAAGTAGTTTTATTTCAAGTACTTTTTCAATAATTTTTATGAAAATATATTTACAAATAAAATTTATTATTCATTCAAATTATAATTTTGATTATTTTTGAAATTTATTATTTTATAGATTACATCATATTTGTTAGATTAAAACATTATAAAATTATAATAAAATAAACCATAAGTTATAGCACAGTATTGGGTTGTATTGGATTAGCAAAAAAAAAGTTGTGTCGTTTGTAATAATTTACATTATTTGAAGGCTAAAAATATCATTTCATTTCACTGTCATTATAACAGTAGTATTCAATAAATCATTTGTGAAGACGTGTTGTCATAAAATATGCCAATCATACAAATTTTTATTGATTTAAATATATAATTACATGAGAATATTGATGATCTCTCTGTACACAGTAAATGATATTTTTACCATTGGTTAACTCATAGTGTGATTGACAATAGGGTCAGTTAGGATTTGGTAATCATAAATCTTGTTAACCGTATGAATGATATAATTATGACTATGTTTGGGAAGAAACAATCAAAATGTCATAACAATCCCTATCACTCTGGGATTCGCAGCGATTTATCTTTATGTTAGAAAATAACACAAAGATTGTCATCTTATAACACATTATTCTGTAATTTGCAAACCATTTGATTGAAAGTCCCAAAAGTCCTTAAAAAAGTGTTAGCATTGAATAAATTGAATGGATATGCAAATGAAGAGTTTGCAAAAACATTTTCTTCACATCACATAAGCGTTTATTCAAATAAAATTCTGTCAATTATTTTTGTTGTTGTTTTTCTTAATGAATTTATTATTAATTTAAGCGATAAGTAATGAAAACTATAAGATAAGAGTTGGGAGTTGTCTTTCCGAAAAAGATAGCAATGTTTTATTCAAATTAAATATCTACTCAACAAAAAATCTCTCGTTTAATACAAATTTTTGTTCACAGCTTTTCAATGACTATCTGTATTAGTGTTAATAATAATATGTTTTACCGATTCATTCGTTTGATAATGTTTTATGTCTTTTAATTTGAATACATCTTATGTTTTGCTTATTATTGCTTATAATAACACGAATGTTGAAACTCTGCAAAAAGTCGTTAAAGTTTTGTTAGTTTTAAATCTTATAACACATTATTCTGTAATTTGCAAACCATTTGATTGAAAGTCCCAAAAGTCCTTAAAAAAGTGTTAGCATTGAATAAATTGAATGGATATGCAAATGAAGAGTTTGCAAAAACATTTTCTGCACATCACATAAACGTTTATTCAAATAAAATTCTGTCAATTATTTTTGTTGTTGTTTTTCTTAATGAATTTATTATTAATTTAAGCGATAAGTAATGAAAATTATAAGATAAGAGTTGGGAGTTGTCTTTCCGAAAAAGATAGCAATGTTTTATTCAAATTAAATATCAACTCAACAAAAAAATCTCTCGTTTAATACAAATTTCACAGCTGTTCACAGCTTTTCAATGACTATCTGTATTAGTGTTAATAATAATATGTTTTAGCGATTCATTCGTTTGATAATGTTTTATGTCTTTTAATTTGAATACATCTTATGTTTTGCTTATTATTGCTTATAATAACACGAATGTTGAAACTCTGCAAAAAGTCGTTAAAGTTTTGTTAGTTTTATCAAATTTTATAATTCTTTATGAATAAAATCTCGATTATTAGAAAAATTTACATAATATGTGAAATAAATCAATTGGTATTGAGAAATGTGTGCTATAAATCTTTACAAACAGTTTTTGGCGATTCAAACACTTAATACCAATGCAAATATGAATTGTAATATCATTTATGTGTATTTGAATGAAAGATATAATATATTAAATATTAAAATTTAAATTCAATGTTAACTGTAGTTTTCATGATATGATTTAATGCTGTTTTAAGTCAATAATAACTCGATTAATAACATTATATTTTTTGTTTGCCTTTTTATGGTTAAAGTTGTGGCCAAAAGTTTATACAGTTATTGTGAGAAAAAGTATTTTTAATTAATTCTAAAACAAAACAAAACAAATTATTGATAAAATTATATGATTTATTCGGCATTTTATAAATCATTAAAAGTTTTATTCATTTTACATGAGTTTAAACGATAAGAAAGAGGCAAATGTTGTGCCTTTGGCTTACATTTGTATATTGAATATAAAATCGATTCAATTCTTAAGCTATTGGTTAACAGAAATCAATTAGAAATAAGTTTCTATACCATGAATAGCATTGATATATAATTTCTAACATTCGATACACACTATAAATATATAATTAAAATAATTTATCGACGATTCGTATTGAGATAAATATTAAATTAAATATTAGTTTCGACTCAAAATTGTGTTTTTCTTTACGCATAGAGTAATAGTTGTGTTGTGTTTGCAATCAAATCTCATATAAAAATAATAAATTAAATGATTAGTTATGATATTTTTGACTTATATTCCTCAATGGTTGTTGATCTCAATCTATATTAAACTATATTTCATTTAATTATTGCAATTATAAATGAGAGTTAAGCACACATTTAATATATTGCATAGAGTTATACAATAAATTATAACCCAATGAGTTATTAAAACACATATTATGTGCAAAATAAAACATGAATCTAACTTTAAGTCTATCTTTAAAAACAGATCTATCAGTAAAATAACAGTAATTATTGAATTGAGAATAAGATCTAAAATAATTGATTGTCTTTTTATCTATTGATTATTTAGAGACACAAAAATTAAAGTACAAATAGATCCTTAATTAAAGTATAAATATGTTTTATTATGAAAAATATTTTTTAAAATTATCGACTTTTCTCTGGCGATCAATAAAACAGTGTCTCTTATACTGTATGTAAAAAAATATGTTTCGCTTCTTCTGTCATAAGATAATGTATGAAATATTTTTGTCTTTAACTAAAATTATTGTTAATTTGCGTGCAATTCAGAGACAAATAAATTGTTTTTTTAATGCCAATACTGACTGTATTACTGAGGCTGACTTTTAGCACACAATTTCATATACACTGAAAATTAGCTCATTTTGAATACGAAATATATTATTGCGTTGTCTTCTTGTCTATGGTTCACATCTTTCACTCTTATATTGTATAATATATTTCATAATATAATACATTAATATTTTCTTCTCTCAAAGTATATATATTTTGAGATTAAAGTGATCTTTTGCTCAACTTTTTAAACCAAAAGATAAACAAAATATAAACAACAAAATTATTTTTGAAGTGATTTCTTCAGGAAGTTTATACTCTTGTTATTTGAAAAACTTATTCTTAGAGTTAATATTTCATTAATATTTTGGCAAAAATACCGTTTTTGTCTGTTTTGCTCATAAATTATTGTTAGCTGTCGTTCCTCTCAGACTCTCTCTCGCTCGCTCTCTCTCTCTCTCTCTCTCTCTCTCTCCCTTCCCGAAGTGTTTGATGTCATCACTAACTCTACCTTTGATTTGAATC